TTATTATTTTTTATTTTTATTATTATCATTATTTTTTATTATTATTATTATTTTTCTTTTTTCAGTAAGAAGATTATTTTTTCTTTTTTCTTTTTTATTATTATTATTATTTTTCTTCTTTCAGTAAGAAGATTATTATTTTTTTTATTTTTTCTTTTTTTATTATTATTATTATTATTTTTCTTTTTTCTGTTCTTATTTATGCCAATTAACTCTGGACACAAACATGAAAAGGAAATGGAAGTGTCTGATGAAAAGCTGCGTTACGTGACGACGATCTTTGCTTTTAAAGCGGGGCTGAAACAGCGATTTGATTAGGAAATCCTGTTCAACTACAAAGTTAAACTTCAAGCAGGAATGAATTCGCTTGTTTATTAGATAGGTTTCTTTTATCTTTGGCTACACGCTTGTTATTATTCGCTTTACTTCAGAACAGAGAATATCGAATTGTATCTCGAAAGGTCAGTGCTTTGCCTCGCTCGACAGCGAATAATTATTTCTTTTAAATATCTATTGATGAACACACGTGTTATTCCATCGAGGTAATAAAATAAATTTGTTCGGCGGCTGTTATAAATTGTTCGAGGGAGTAATACTTTTTTAATTTAATTGCTCTGTTCATTAGTAATTTAATGTGTTACCTTCGCGAAAGAAGCGATCAGTCTAAAAAATTTCATGTAAATTTCTTTTGCTGACAATCGTGTGCAGCTCTCTTTCGAAAAAGGCATAATAAATCGGAATAAATTAGGGCAAAATGAAATCTTCACTTCGATTTCCTCCGTTGCGATAGAAGTGTCTTCCATTTTGCGATAGAAGCATTTAAAAAAGATAGTGAATATCGTAATTCACCAAATTTAAAACCGCAAGTGGAAAAGGAAAGAGGAGAGCAGCCTGTTGGTTATAAACATAAAATATAACTCGATTAATGCTGAAATTATCTAAAATGATCCAAAGCAATTTTTCATAAAAACCTTACAGACTTTGGGAAATTCTTCGAAATTTGAATGAAATTTTCACAAAATATACCTTTTGACCTTGAATAAATATACAATGCTTCTGTTCTTTATTTCATTATACATTCCCTCCTACTCTCTACACTTGAATTTAGTGTGACACAACTAGTCTTACACTTTAATTGTCGATAGTTCTACTGTTAATAGTTCTAACCTTCAAAACAAAGTGTATCCTTGTACCGTTGTTTTTTACAAATGATCGAAATTTTTATGTAATCGTAGTAATTAAAGACGTAATTGTACATTACAATCGACACAACTTAACCTTTCTTCCTTTTTACGAATGATCGACATTTTTAAACAACCACCGACACCACCAGATCGGTGTAGGCGCCATTGCTAAGCGTACAAGAACAAAGCGTATCGATAACTTTACGCCCAGATAATACCGCGTAATGCTGCCTCGACGATCCACTCTGACCCTCGATTCTTCTCTATTTAACAACACTCTCGAATCACTTTGTGCAAATTGTCTTCGACCTCTCCTTTTCCTTCTTCATCATCGTCTGTGCCACACTTTCTTTGCCAATCGATTGCCGCAACGAACAGTCGTAATATCCGCGAAAGTGGCTGGACGAAAAGCAGCCCGAATAACGCTTGAGACGCTTTAATAACAAGACGTGGCGACGCGAGTTCGTCTCGTTCCTTCCTTTATTTGTCGTTCCCGGTAACATTTTACTTGGGATTTGAACTCTGGAACTCTGTATACGCGATTAAAAGCGTCTCGTGGCAACCTCGTTTTTAACCGAGGATCCGAGCAACCCCATGGAATCGAGCTACGTTCGAGCTAGCTGGTGAGCCAGCAGGGCGAAAGGGGTGGTTGTAGTGACGTATCGACCGACGGGGTCACCTGGGGTCACCAAAGTTCATAGCGTCTCCTGGTTCACGAACTCGCCGAAACTACGGCCGCCATCCTGTTGCCGCGTTTCGTACGCGGGCGACCATTTCGTTCGTTCATTTCAAATCGAAATCTGTCTTTTTTCTTTTTCTTTTCCCCCATTTACTTTCCTCTCTTCTCGTATTTCCGTGAAAATCAATGCGCCAGTGCCCATTGGCTGCTTCGGACCTGCTCGTGGCACTCGAATTTTTGGGTCAGCTTCTCGAAGGCGAGATCGATCAGCTTCTTAGCCGCAGCTGCCAGCCCCCTTGGGCTCTTCTCTTCGGTTTCATTTCTAATTTCCTCTAATTAATACGCTAGTTCGGGTAACTCGAGCTCGTCGGGCCCGTGTCTCTCGAATTTTTGCCAATTTGAGAAGCCAAATTCATCAGCCCTTTAACTTCAAAGCACGAGCTTTCTCGCTTGGCTTTAAATTAGGTTTCAAGTCTTGAAGTTTAATCTGAGATTTCCTGTCGAAATCGATGCACCAAAACGGATGACACTCGAGGCTTATTGTAATTCTCGTATTTTTCTATTTAGTTCTTAAGCGCAGTGCTTTTCGGTAATTTAGTAATAGTAACTTTAAATAGCAGTTTTTAGGTAATTTAGTAATAGCAATTTTAAATTTTCTGTTAAAATCAGTGCACCAATAGATAACGCTCGAGGCTTATTGTTAGTTTTCTATTCTTCTGTTATTCTTTTACAATATTATTCTATTTTTTATTCACATTATTATTCTATTCTCTTAAATTAATAAAGCTTTTACTTTAAATATATTATACTTTTTAAATACAATATTTTTCGGTTAATTTTAAATTTTCTGTTAAAATCAGTGCACCAATAGATAACACTCGAGGTTTATTATAATTTTCCTATTTTTCTATTATTCTTTTACAGTACTATTCTGTTTTTTTATTAAATCAATCAGGCCTTTGCTTGAAGCACAATATTTTTCAATTAACTTTAAATTTTCTGTTAAAATCAATGCACCAATAGATAAGACTCGAGGTTTATTATAATTTTTCTATTTTTCTATTATTCTTTTACAATACTTTTACTATTATTCTTTACTATTCTGTTTTTTACATTATTATTCTATTCTTTTATAATATTATTCAAATTACTCTGTTCTCTTGAATTAATCAGACCTTCACTTTATGCACAGTATTTTTCGGTTAATTTTAAAATCAATGCCCGAAATAGATACTTGAAGCTTGTAATACTCGAATTTTCGTACCTGCTCTTTATTTATTTCAACAACTGTGTTAAACTTAAGTTAAAAGCAATTAATTTACCAATTGTAACGTCTCAACTAACGATTAAACTTTACCAAGATATGTACACTATAATATAATGTAATTCATGAATTGGACCGTGATATTTCTTGTCGTACATGACGGAAGCGTTTAATTACATTTGGAAGACATTTAATTAACGGGACAGGACATTAGCAGGCAATCCTTGGTGTCTTGTTGTTGGTGTCAGTATGTTTGATCAGTTATCTGTTATTCCACTGGAAGTCGTATTCGACGTAGAATAGAACCGTGCACTATTGTTGGAATTTGGAAGTTGCAATACACGATGTAACTGAACGTTCAGATTATTTATTTAAACGTTCCGCCAATTGCGGCGAGCATTAATAAATCGTGCAAAATTATTAACATGGAACATAATATGTAATATTTAAGGGAAAATATAATATACACGAGCATCACCTGTCACGCATGATTCGACGATCTACTAAAACATTTTTCCACATTTTTCGTCCACCCGAATTGATCAAATTTATCAGTATACAATTTCCAATACATTAGAAATCATAAATATCATATAGAATATCGAATATCTGAAACTACATATTACGCAATAGATTAATCGCGTTTAATCCTCGCTTGGTGTAACGTTTCACTGCGTTCAGCATAAACGTGAATTAATACGAACCTCGTGGATGAATACACGTATAATGGAACGTGGAAAAAGAGAAAGTGATTTGTCAGTGATATCGTATAGATAGTGGAGGATAAAGCTATCAGATTATCAAGCTCGCCTAGAGTGGATGTAAGCTAATCCCTCCTGTTATCGTCGCTTATTCCCTTGAAATACGATATGTCATTTTTTTTTTCTGCGTCGTGCAGACGTAGTTGATAAACGGTGAAATCTTGTGCAAACTTCGGGAAATTGGGGTAAACAGTTTCATCGACACGCATCAGATCCTCTCGCACTTGACAAACAGGGTGTAACATCGAGCCTACTTTCTAGCAAGCCGTCGTCCGACTTGTACGCAACAAACTGTCTATACTTATTTCTGAATTTATACTCGTTTCGATTCACTGAATGATACTGTTTCGACTCGAGTACTCGTGATCAATCAAACGACGATTTAAGTTTTAATTTGCGATCAACCTTTCAAAGAATTACGGTTGTGTGATTCAAGACGAAGAAATGCTTTCGTGCGTTTCAACGCGTTTCTATAAATATGCTTGTTTAACTGTACGATCGGGTACCGTGCATTTTGTCGAAGACTGGAATTTCAGAACAGACCGGTTTGGAATTAAAATAAAGCCACGTTGAGTTAAATAAAGACTATGTCTCACGTAGTTGCTCGACCGAGGTCAAATTAACTTCCAAATTAGTCTTACTCGCTGCGCATTAATTTATCCATCAGTTGAAGCAAATAAGACGTACAGAGGCAATTGAAGTTAAAAAAAAAGAAACAAGAATGTAAGTAAAACTGTACACGTAATATACAAACGAGAAGAAATGATTTCCAATTCTTTGAACTGTTCGTTATTCTCTTCCGATTGTTTTCAAATTCTACTTCACTCATTTGTGAAAAAACAGTGACGAGCATTCTTCGAAACAACAAAGTGTAAACTGTTTTTTAAAAAAATCTATAATCTGCAAGTATTTATAAACATCTATAAATGCTTTTTAATAATGATAAGTAATTATTTGAAGAATTTTAAAGTCTCATTCTAAAGTATTCATCCCTCGGCAGAGACAGTTTACAAAGCGAAAATTGAAGATACTGAAGCTGTAAGGGAAATATTCACGAGCGTAAAGTGCCGTTTTTAATTGCCCGCTAACTGTTGGCCGACTGTTTTTGCAGGATGATCGGTGCAATGCCAGCGGTGGCAGTTCGCCACGAACGTAAACGACAAGAGAAAAGACTAAAACGTCCTAGTCAACTTTACCTAGGGGGCCAATGGATGCCACCGCCTCAAGGCTCGCCGCCAACCCCCAGCCCTCATGGCCACAACAGCCACCTGGAGCCTTTACCCGAATTGTATCTTTGTGGCAAGGTAATTTCTCGCTTATACACACACACACACACACACACACATATACACGTACGCGATGACACCGCAGAGATATCGTCGCGTCGCGTTAACGTGACTGTGTATTTATTGATCTCGGGGAACTTGACGCGCTACGCATCGTGTTTTTTCTTATTATTATTTCACACACTATGTGTGTGTCATTTAAATACCATGAAAATATCGTGCGTTTTTTTTCTCCTCCCTATCAAAAGTTCAAAAGCATTAACGTGACGTGAAACGTGGCATCGAAAACACACGCAGAGCGAAAATGTGACGTCGGCTCTGTTTCCTGAAAGTTTATTGATTAAAACGCGGGTAACACAGAAACGTTAAACACAGACGTTATTTAATGGTTGGATTTCATTTCAACACATGTTGTATTTAATTGCAACGCGTTCGATTAATTAAAGGCAATTTGAATAATTTAACTTTCTGCAGTTTAAAAGTTACGTCTACACGTATGAAAACGTTTTGATAACGTTCGTCAAAGTTGTTGCATTTGTTACGTTGTAAAAATACCGAACGAACTGCCATTATCAACAATGCAAAGGGCAATTGCGTAACAATTATTCATCCATGGATCTTTAACCCCTTGCGCTGGCAACTGGTTCGCGCGGACCGTAACGAGTGACCGAACCGTGTACAATAAACCGTCGCCTTTCTTTTTCTTTTGAACTCGTCGGTACGATATCATTGCATAGAAATTATTAAGAAATAATAAATTTATTAATTGCTTTGCCTGGGTTACGTTTAAATATACTTAAAATACTGAGAAAATGTTGCAATTTCGGGCAAAAAATTCTCGACGTGCGTGGAACGTCATCCCAGCGCAAGAGGTTAACCCCTGTCGCGCGGACCGTAACGAGTGACCGAACCGTGTACAATAATTTGTCGCTTTCTTTTTCTTTTGAACTCGTCGGTACGATATCATTGCATAGAAATTATTAAGAAGTAATAAATTTATTAATTGCTTTGCCCGGCTTACATTTAAATATACTTAAAACTGAGAAAATGTTGCAATTTGGGACAAAAAATTTGACACGCCACTCCAGCGCAAGTGGTCAATTGGAATTAACCGACAGTTTTTTCCTCTCGCAAGTGATCGAAATTCTGGTTACGAAGGGTTAACATAACACACCATCTTTCTAAACTTTCTAAAATTTCTACCTCAAACATAATTTCCAATATTCACGAGCTTCTCAACAAAAAAAAAAAAAGGCTAAGAAAACACGGATCATCGAATGATTCCCTTTCGCAGAGAATCGTTCGATAGTAAGCGACTTCAGTCGCCTCACTCAGGAACGGTGAATAATTTACCAGCCCACGGACGTGGAATGACCGCAAGATGATTCGCACGGGAAATGATTTAACAGGGACGTTGTCGTTCACAGATATCGGGGCTGCACGCGGTGGTGGTGTGCCTATTGTTAGGCGCAGTGGTGCTGGTGGTTGGTCTAGTCCAACTTGCCCCGGGTGCGACGACCACCGACCATCGACTCGCTCTACTCGTAGCGGGAACTATTCTGCTTCTCCTAGGTGAGCCACTTTTTTCTCCCTCCTCTCTCTTTCAAGTCCGAGCGAAACTCTGTACCAAGGAAATCCTGAACTTCGTCGGAGAATAATTGGCCAAGGAAATAGGTTTCCGCCGTTCCGCGCTTGATTTCTAAGTTAAAACGCATGAGGGCAATGAAGTGAATTCATCAGGGACCAATTGCAACTTCAATTCCCGAATTCGCTCGCTGTGTCTCTCTCTAGATTTAGAATTGGCGACTTTCGGCATGCTTTCGTGAAGTTTAATCATATTTGTTATTTGTTCAATCGTGTTTGTGGTTTGTTATTTTTTTTTTTTTTTCTTTTTGAACCGTGGAGAAGATTTTGTTCCATTATTTTTGATACTAGAGACACGTGTTTTCTGATGTCAAAGTAAATTTTAACAATATTAAATATTATACATTGACCAGCAAAAGTGTTTAAATGTTATAAAGCAGAGAAAATTTGATATAAATATAAATTCTATCACTTTGATAAAAGGATTCTAAAATTCAAAATATATATTATATATAGTATTAATATTAATTAATAATATTATATGTAATATTAATATTAATTAATAATATTATATATAATATTAATATATTATATATTATACGTTTGATATGCTTGTACATTGATAGAAAGCACATAATGTATCAATCATTGGTTACACATTTAATATATCAATTAGATATTATTTGTTGCATCGTCATACGTATACTTTATAGCGATTTAATTTTATTGTCTAATTGATCTATATTTCTGGCAGAAGTGAAGTATTTCCGAAAGAAAAGAAAAAATGTAACATAATTCCATTGAATAATTAGGTCACATTTTTCGCAGTGATCTGATACTCCCAATATCTATCATGAGATCTAGTTTCAGTAATTAAATTTCATATTGATCGGAATTTTCAACGCGTGATACTTCAATTCGATATTCATGCATAACTGCCATTTTCATTTATAACGTGTAATATTTTCGACAGGACGTGTGATTTACCTATATATTTAATTACGTGTCTTCAGCAAGACATGTAATTTAATTTTATTGATTAATTGGGTTACAATTGTGACCAAAATGTGATATCCTCAAACGAGACGCACCGTTTAATATAATTTCGCTGAACAATTAAAATACGTACGCGTATTTTTTTTTTCTTTTTTTTTTTACAGAAATGTGATATCAGTAGAAAAGGTCACATTCGTTTATTAACACAATTTATAAGACGAACATTCGCGCGATAATAAATTGAAGAATTATTGTTTTTAATTATTCTTTCGTTTGAATCTCCTTCAGAGTGGATATTCATGAATAATACGAAGGAACATGAAAAAAAACTGCGAGGAAATCATTTAATTTCTTTTATTTTACTTATCTCGTAGTTTTCGGAGTAAACGTGTAGTAAAATAAATATGCGAAGGAATCTCGATACAAAGGAAAAGAATTTTTCCTTTTCCTCTTGAATCCTGCAAACTTGCGTCCTATGTCTCGTTGTGCAGCTGGTTCCATCACTGTTCACTGATTTCTATAACTTTTGAACTTTAGAGCCGCGAGGTTCATGCTTTGGCAAGTTGCGAAATGGAATAGACTCGATCGTACTGACATTTGCAAAATTCCCAGACCAGCTGGTATTGTTAACCAGCATTTATGTTCGTTGTAAATGCTTAAACAATAACTAGAGCTTAACGACACAAATACTGTTCTCGAAGCTCACGTGGAAAGGTGGGCAACGAACGAAATAAATTAATCACGTCGCGGTAATTTCCACTGTTATTCGATTTATCTCCTCTCCGTTTTCATCGGTTTCAATTTCGACAGAAATTCCCCGCGAAAACCTCGGCTTTTCTGTTCCAATGGCCGCTCTCTGACAAACTTCAACTTTCCAACATTTCGGAAACTCCCGCTATTAAAATACTTTGTTTGCAGAAAAAAAGTTTGTCCCAACGACATCGAGCGATTCTGCGCGATTGAATCACGGATAATATTTTATATGAAAACGAGAGGAGAGACGAAACGCTGTTCGCGTTTTATTTTAAAGTTGTCTGTTGTTAAAAATCTTTAATGTGCCGATTTTCATACGCTGAAGTAATGAAACAAACTCGTTTTATTTTATACCGTAGTCGGATGTATTGTATAAGACGATGCCGAGGCAATAAGAAACAGTTTGAAAAGAACTCGCCTCGTCTTCAGAGCTTTTATGACCTAATCGTATTGCTGTGAGCTATCCATTCCGGACACTAATCAAGTTACTGCCAGTTAACATCGTGATCGTAATAAAAGTGATATTCCATTCTTTGACTTGCTTCAAGGAAAAACCTTCGACGATGCGAATTTTCTCCGAAAAAGATGTTGAATATATTTACTATTACGAATTTGTGTAATTTTCATAATGGAGACGTTTAACGAGGAAACGTTGTTTTTGAGCAAATTATAATGTGGATGTTTACACGTTTAAAGAAATAGAATTTTAACTAACGCGTACTGAATATAATAATTTAACACTTAAACTTAATTTCGTGCAAATTATTGTAGCCGGTATTTCGCATATTTTCTTAAATATGTTCTTCCATGCATTTTTGCATCTTTCAATTTTGTCATAAATATCAATTTTATTGAATTATATGTATTTTATCTATTATAAATATATTAATTTATATGTATCTTATCTATTGCAAAATTATATTTAAGAAAGAGACACAGTTATAAAAACGATCATATGTAGCACTCGAGTTTTACAAATAAAAAGGGGATAATACCATTCCAAAAGCAGGAGAGATTGAAATTAATTGAACTTTCTCTGCTGAAATAAAATTCCAAATGCTCGGGCACTCATTTTTATTCGCCCCAAAAATTCCATTAAAATTAATTCGCCAACAGTTTTCGACAGTTGAACAACATTTTTATATTGAAACGAAGTTGATGTAAATTTTTATAACTGAACTTCTCTGTTCTTCCTGGTTTTTTTTCCATGCACGTCGTAAAATTGAATTCTGTAATCTAATTTCAAATTGAAAACAAAATGTCACGTCACAGAAGATCGAGGAGAAAACTTAAAACCTGTTTCGTATACTATTATGAAAAAAAAGAAAAAAAGTATGCCGTTACATAGTTTGATAATGGGACATTATCGTGTTGCTGTTTTTTAGCGAGATCGTTTGAATGCAGACTCGACTCGAACACAGTGGCAAGAAGCTCTGTAATGCATTTGCATGTTCATTAAAGTTGTTCCACGAAATTCATGCGCGTCGATATTATTATCAACGCGCGGTCATACACGTAAACTTACGGATAAAGCAGCCGGTTTGGAATTAAATTCGCCAAGTGGATTGCAAAGGATATTAATTAACGCGAAACATATCGATGAACCGCTCGAAATTTATCACACAAATTTTAATCGAATTTTCGTTACACGCCTGTGTACGGAAATTATCGCTGTACCAAACCAAAGGCAAAACTCGTTTCCATCGCTAAGTTTGTTTTAAACTAATAGTAACCTGGATTCTGCGTTGTATTTCGAATGTAATGTACGACTAACATGCTTGATCGAAATCAGCTTTTTACAACATCACCAATGGTTTGCTTTAAACTAATAAACCTAGATTTTGTGTTGTACCTTGAATGTGAATTCGTTGTAACAGAGATCGAATATTTCAAAAGTAGAATGAATTGCTATTGCAAGTTTCAATGGGAATGTTTATAGATTGTTGTAATTTATAGATATCTGAGCCAAGCGTTGAATATGAAACATATAAATATGTAAAAATAGTATAGCTTAATTTATAATTTAAATCATTTTAACATTCGTTGTTAACATGTGTGATTTAACTTTAAATTGCACGATTTTCACTTAAGCATTAGTTATAAATACTAGGAGAGTTTCTATTTGTATCACGTTTCACAGTAGATAGTCCTGGCATTAGTCAGACGCTCTGTCACTACATACCGTAACTTATTTCTACTCTTTTATATCTAACGAAATGAATATAACTAACAAATATGATTACATCTCTATGAAATTAGCGAGTATAATTCGAGAAATTCAATGTTTAATTAAATATTTCATGAGACCTGCTTGTAGAATTATGCAAATATCATAACACACAATCAGATTGATTTTTTTACCGCCATTATTCAAATGACAAGCGTGTCATATTCTAATTTTCCAATCTCCAGGTGAACCAAATCTTACCTCCAACTATAATCAATCTTTTGTCATTATGTTACGAATTCATTGCATAACATGAAATCAATTTAATACTATTTATTCTTAAAAAGTTACTTACTATTTATTTAGTTTCAACCAACAGCACAAAATATGAAATAAATAAAAAAGTGATATTTAATTATCCAGTATTATTCTTGCATCGTTCGATTTATTTAATCATTGACAATTCTAACTGGTTAAATAGTTCAACTGTACATCAAAAATTACAACTTTGTAAAATATCATTCTAACGGAAGCTCAGTATCAATTAACAGCACAAAATATGAAATAAGTAAAAAAATAATAATCCACTCTGTAAAATGATTCTTGATTTATTTAATCATTGGTAATTCTAACTGAGTAAAATGATTCTTGATTTATTTAATCATTGGTAATTCCAACTGAGTAAATAGTTCAACAATACATAGACATTACAAAATATCATTCTAACGGAAGCTCAGTATCAAGTAACAGCACAAAATATGAAATAAGTAAAATATCATTCTAATGGAAGCTCAGTATCAGCTAACAGCACAAAATATAAAATAAGTAAAATATCATTCCAATGGAAGCTCAGTATGAGCGAACAAGCACAAAATATGAAATAAGTAAAAAAATAATAGTCCACTCTGTGAAATGATTCTCCGGCGTCATTCTTGATTTATTTAATCATTGGTAATTCTAACTGGTTAAATAGTTCAATGGTACATCGACGTTACAACTTTTGTAAAATTTTTTCATTCTAACGGAAGCATAATAATTTTAGGCATCATCCTAGCCGGTGTCAGATGCTACGTGTTACACTGCGTGCCATTACCAAGCGAGTCGCCCGTGGCAACCCCGCTTCCGCCGCCGGCTAACGACCAGGCCGGACTTCCGCGAGGCACGCTCGACCTTCTGGTGGGCCATCAGAATCAACCGGAGACCGACGCGCTGATGCACACCGAGCACCACCATCAACACCATCATCATCACCATCACCATCATCACGGCAATCATAAGAAGAAGCGTAGCTCTCAAGGCTCCCACTCCGACGAAGCCTAATGATCGACGTCAGAGAAACCGGCTAATTATAATGGATCCTGTTAAGTCGGTGATGAAAGTACATCCGCTGACAGTGAGAAACTCCAGGGAGAGACGTTCCAGACCAAATTAGGAAGTGGAGGAAGGAGAAGAGGAGGGAAGAAAAGGAAAGAAAGAAAGGGAAAATAGAGAGGAGGGAAACAGAGAGAAACGAAGAAAAGAAACAGATGAAGAAAAGCGTAGATTGAAGATTTTGAGAGGAAAGTAAAACGGGGGGAACAATCCTCCCTTCCCCCCCTCGTTGGAGACAGTCTGTACGTGTACATTATACTCGATTCTTTTATATATATATATATATATATATAAAAGTATATATACATATACAATACATGCTATATGTATGTACATATATGTTCACATACATTTGTATGTAAATGTATATGCACGTAGATATATACATATATTATCGGCATGTATAATGCGTAACGTGTACTCAGCTTCGAGAATCGCCGCTGAGGAAAGTGCACTTTTCTATCTTGTATATGCTGGATGTTCGAGCTTCATCTGACACGCGATATCACTTTATTGATCTTTCTTGCCCTTACGTGAACGAAATACGAGCTGTTTGGAGTATTACCGCGATCGCGGTGTCTCCGTGGCAAACGATTCTTTCGGTCACTTGCCGATGCAAATTGCGAAAGCTTGAAGACTGCCAGCGCAAAGCGAGAGGAGCATGGCGAGGGTAATCTTGTTATCGCCCTGGGGACAAAGTCGATCAACGTGGGTCCTCGAGATACTGCAAACAGTATCTTCTTTTTTTTTTTTCCTTCTTTTTGTGTGTATTCATGATTCGAAAACTACAGTTTTACTTTCTTATCTAGTTTTGCCACGAAATTTAAAGAAAGAGAGAATACCGAATTGTAAGATATTTTGAGACGAGAATGTTTCATAGCTTGTGTTGTTATATTTTTTACTTAATTGTTATTGTTTTTCAGAATTATATTTTAATTTATTTATGTTTAAATCTCTTTGCAAAAGAAATTGAAAGAATCATTGCTTCTTGTCTCAATTTCGTCTCGAAACGTCAAATGTTATTTTTGTTATCGTATTGAAACAAAGTTGAGATATATAAATCACAGTGGAATCTTGAACCTTTGCCGAGATGTTTCTCTGAAACGCTGGCAAGTTTTTTAGCATCGGCTCTCGCGAAACGTAAGTGGATTTGAAACACTCCTCCAGGCTTTCTGAGAGATAATTGCAAAATAATTGCGACGAAAAAGTGAAAGTGATACATACAAAGTGAACAAAGAAAAAAAACTCGCAAAGCCGAACACCCTGCATTCGATCAAAAAAAACAAAAAAAACAAAAAAAAAAAACAAAAAAAAACAGTTCGTTATCACTATTGAAAGACTAATTCCTTCTTTTCGAAAACCAATGAAAGCTCTGTACAAAAAAAAAAAAAATATTATTAACAAACATGTATACATAGAATAGATGCATTGTATGTATATTTCTCATGCGACTAAACCGGAACGTTCTACGCGCGAGCATAATGAGACAGAGGACAACAACAAACGAATTATCGAAAAAACGCGCAAAGGAAAGAGAAGAATCTATCCACAATTATTCAAATTTACCACGGAAAGAATGGGTAGAAATTGAACGAAAGGTTCATTCGATGATTTTACGCTCGAGCGATATTCTTGAATCTGATGGAGGATATTTAACGGAATCTAATTTTCACGTGCCAATTTTAAAGTGACAACTCCCACGTAGATGATTCAGTTGCATTTTTGTGGTACGCACGAAACGATACTTTCTTGAGTATCCTCTTTTCGCGACGCTATGTTCTTCGATAGCTTGACATATGTGTTGATCATTATACGTTACGCGCGCATGTGTGTATGTGTGTGTGTGTGTGTGTTGCAAATACAGATTCTAAGATAAGTGTCGATATTAAAAAGCGTCAGAAGTCGAAAAGAAATTATGGCCTAGCGTCGATAGTTTTACGGATATTTAAACGTCTCATTCGTGGACATTTTTTTCGATTTCATGAATCATGTCGCCTTGAATTTTTCAATGAATTTCAATTGTTTAAGGTGTCTGTCTTACTTGACAAAGGTATTTATCACCTTCTGATCTTTGTGTAACGTACAAAATGGTCCATTATATGTCTCGCATTGTTAAAAGCTCGAATATTTTAATAAATGATAAATCTTGATAAATTTATTATTATGCTTCAGGGAAATTTGATAATAATTCGGAAAATTATTTATTTCTACTAGATGATATTACGTCCTGTTTCGAAGCAAGAATTTTGCATGATATTTATTTTACACGGCAATGATATGTGAATCATTCTGTACGCACTAAATCTAGGGCACAAAATTTATTAGAGAATACAATCTATTTCATCGCATCGTAAATCATCTGTGACACGTTTTATAGAAGGAGAAGTTAGGCAACCGGAAGAAACGGAATCTATCGAATTCGAATTCTATTCGAATTTTATACCACGAAATCGAGAGAACTTTGGAGAAAGATTCACAAATGTGACAAATGACTAAATTGTAAATTATAAAATATAAAATTATAACAAGAAACAAGAGCAACACACTCGAGACGTGTAAAAAGAACTTCGAGTGAAAATATTTCTCTTTCTAAAAATATGAATTTCTTCACTGTTGAAAGAGTATTAAGAAAATAATTTAAATTGTTATTATTTATATCGTTAAAAATATTTTTAAAAATTATTTATCAAAAATATCAATTTAATTGCTATTTGTTACAAATATTTAAGAAATATTGCGAGAAAGCATATTCCAAGATTACATTCTTCAATGTTAATGTTGAAAGATTCTCTCTAATTCTCTCTAACGAATAAAAGATATTTATTTCTAATGAATAAAGTTCTTTCGACCGTTCATAGTGTATCGCGATTTCACAACAATGGGAATACATACAGTCTAAAGTTCACGATAAGATTCTACCTCTGTCTTGAACTTTGCCTTTTTGCGAGAAGCTTCTGTCTCGACCAATCGCGTGTGTGCTAGGCCTATTAAAACGTACTATGGTCGTTCATGGTGAACAATCCCGAGAACAACATTCGAGAATAAAGCGGTACTTAGAATGTTCGTAGCACGTTGGTATTTCGTAGAGATTGTTAGATTGATTTTTATATGTACGTCGTTATACCTTTGTCGATAAAATTTCTGTCACGACCAATTAGACGTTTAAAAAAAAAAAAAAAAAACAGAAAAAAAAGAAAAGAAAAGGAGAAAAACCATTCTATCTACAATTAAAGAAATTTCGATCGTCTGATTTCGTGCGTCCCGATACACGACTGAAGTATAATTAAGTGATACGATGACAGGTCATCGTGTATCGGTACGATCACTGAAACGATCGAACACTTGATTTCCTCGACGAACCTGATCTCAAAAAGACTTCTTTCTGGTAGAATTGTTTTTTGAAACGCCTTAGACAGGTGATCGGGTAATCGATCTCGCGAACAGACGGCGGATATTTATGAAAAAGTCGAAAGTACGCAATATTTTCAATTATCGGTACAATATTGGAATTTCTAGTATCTGAAAGTTTAATGTCTGAACGCTTTCTCAGACATTTTTCTTGTACATATGGATTTATGGAACGTTGTTTATAATTATAAAGGAAATTCGTAAAGATAGTTTTTAGATTAATATTCGTTTATGGTGAACAGTTTTGTCTCGTTTCTGGGAAAAGTTTGTAATCTTCGTAAACATCCACGGTCTAATCGCGAAACACGATGAAACAAAACTGGAAATCGCGTGCCTGTTCAGACGACGAGAAACACGTTGAGTAAAAAAAGAGAAGACGAATAGAGCTAGAAATCGCGACATTCTTAGACACGTGTGTATACTCTGACGACTCGTCCATTCGCATCTCTTTCTCGAACAGGCGTTGCGTGCCGACTCGAGGAACGAAAAGCGAGTGTAAAAAAAATGTGGAAAGGAACGACACACCTTGGGTAATGAAGAAAAATAACGAGGGAATTGCGGGAACGTCGCTATGAGTATTTACAACACCTAAGTCGATAAATGTAACTCAGCACCTGCACCCTGCATCTTCGATGTTATTTTTTTTCGAGGGAGGATTTACTGTGAAGGGATGTACGCGTAGGAGAAGTCGCCGGGAGTAACGTTTTCCCCGACGATCTTACCACGCGGAAAAGAGATGCGCGATCTAGATGTGTCTTTCGAGTAACAAATATTTAAATTATCTATTTACACTGCAATATTTATACTTAAAGTGAACATTTACAAATTCTTCTGTGCCCGTGCGTCGAGGAGACATCACCCGTGGGAATTGACTTTTTATGATAAAAAACAAAGAAAAGCAAGTTTTCAAGTTTCTAGGACTTTGTGAATTGTATTTAAAAGAAACATATATATATATATACTTAGATTTACTATCTATGAAACACAATTAAAACTGTGAACAAATACAGACAACAAGTGAAGTGTTAGAATTTTTATTCTCCACTTATAATTGCGTACGTTGATTTCAAGTACAATATACTATGAATAATTTGACAAGTATACTATACTTGTTGTCGATATAATCTCTTGCACGTACACTTGGAATTTTGATCTTGTTATATATTTATTATCCACCATCTTGAAAATTTTTATCAAATTTTAATTAACTATGCAAGACGTAAAAATCGAAGAAAAAAAGCGTTGAAAGGTTGTTCTCTTAAGTACGTATCACTGTAATTTTCCTCGGACGATAGACTTTCGTAGATAGCTGTTTCACTCGTTGATCGAAGCTACTGTTTTCAAATAATAATAAAGAAAGACTCTCCTCGAGGCACGGGCGTGCACGTTCGACTACCGTTGGGGTCCACTTAAAGTTATTACAAAAAAAAAAAAGTTACACATATATGTATATGAGAACAGTTACGTAAGTTATTTTACAAAGCGTTGGGCACTAGGTGAACGAGGAAGGAATTCCACGAATACAAGTCTCCAAGTTTCAGTTCTCACTCACCTAGTGCTAGTGATATATGATAATATAGTATAACATAACATTAACATAATATAACATAATATAACATAATATAATATAATATATTACGATATAATGCATATATATATATATATATAAAGGGGAAAAAAGTATATATATATATACATACATATACTCCTAACATAAATAATACACGCACGAGTTATCTCTGAAACTAAAAACTTAACTAAGGGTATCTGTATTGTAATTGTAAGCTAAGCTTAAGTAACAAGCGACAGACACGAGCACGTGTAACAAAAAGCTCGGCAACCTTCCATTTCCAAACGCGATCTGTGTAAATAGTTTTCGTATAACTAATTTAAATAAGCTCGCTGATAGACACACCGTTCAACGGCGATTTTTCTACGCGCGCGCGCTATCTGTCAAACTTTTTTACTGTGTTCTGCGAGTCTCATTTTCGAGTAAGAACGCTCCGATGCTCTCCCGACAGAATCGTCGTTCACGAATCGAGACACGAACGATGCCGTTCAAATGCGTTTTTTCTAACATTGCTTGTCAACGATTCTTCCGCTGAATCACATCGTGTACAGGGTATCTCAATTTATCTGATCGTTTCGTGGTGAAAGTATTCGTATGCACGATGAATTGAACTTGCTCTGTGACTGTAGAAAAGATATTTCCTCGTCGTCGTGTGATTTTATTAAAATCATCAGTTTGATTGAATAAGATATAAGGTATATATCTCGAATTGTGGATTAATTTTAATTTAAATGAAAAAAAGTTTGAAATTTGATAGTTTAATTTTATGACACTTCAGGAAGATCTGTTTTCTGAGGAAATTATACCCGAATAATAACGAAACGAAGAAATTCAATTGTTTCGTTTATTTCAGACACTTTGTTCATTCTCTGTCATCGTCAAATAGCAACGAATTGAAGGGAATACCCTGTAGACGACTTCCATTGCATTTGAATCGTTCCTCGAATCTATGATCGATACTGTACGAATTACGCTTAATTGCAGTACGTTGTTTTTCTATGCGCTGATTCTTGAATTATTCGCCGAATATCAGTTACGCGAGAACAGAGGGCAAATTTTGATAATTTTCCGCGGGCAATTGCTATTGTCGCTAAGAAGCCGGACTCTGTTTTATAATCGCGAAGCAGTGAAGACTTTTTTAAGGTTTCTAAACGATATTACGCTTACGATTGTTGATTGATTGATTGATTGCTTTGCCGTGATCGCTTTGTGAACGCTTGCTTATACCTCGTTAATGATTGTTTCGCCGTTAGAAGGCTTCTGCCTTCTGCCAACCGTTTCTACTTTCTATTTCGTGTGAAAGTAATATCCAGAATCGATTAATCGTTCGGGACCTTATTCGAATACAAATTTAGAGCGCAGACGGTATTCAGCACCTCTTTACGAAAAAAGGAAAACCAAAGTATTTATTAAATCTTATTAAATTGGGTGAT